CTTTTCTCCCTTTCTCACAATGCAAGAACTCGTGGGCACTCCATGAAATTGCTGAGCGGTCGGGTTAGAACGGATAAAAGGAAGTCCTTCTTCACCCAAAGACTGATTAACACGTGGAATTCACTGCCAAAGGAGGAGGGGGCGGCGGCTACAAGCATGGATGGCTTGAAGAGGGAATTAGATAAGCATATGGAGCAAAGGTTTATCAGTGGCTATTCACCACAAGGTATAGATAGGAACTCTCGGTCTGGGGCAGGCGATGCTCTGTATTCTTGGTGCTTGGGGCTGGGGGGGGGCAACAGTGGGAGGGCTTCTGACCCCACTGCTGGACCGTCTGGATGGCACCTGGTATTTTTGGCCACTGTGTGACACAGTGTTGGTCTGGATGGGCCATTGGCCTGATGCAACATTGGCTTCTCTTATGTTCTTATGCCTTTTCACTGAGACTAAAAGTGGACAACAGCTTTAGAAAAACAATGCTAAAAGAGGCTAGGATAATACCTAAAAACAATGGGATGAAACTGGATTGCAAAACTAGAGAATCTAATGACCACCCAATAAACAATTTAAAACTCTTAAAAAATGGTCATCCCAAAGCCCTAGAGCAATGGTGGTCAAATTCATAACTAGAGGCAATGTGCAAAGAACTGGTCTTTGAGATGTACCCCGATTGTAAATTTCCTCGCAGAAAGTCCTTGTACCTTCACCCAAAGAGTGATTAACATATGGAATTCACTGCCACAGGAGCTGGTGGCAGCTACAGGCATGGACGGCTTCAAGAGGGAATTGGATATGGAGCAGAGGTCCATCAGTGGCTATTAGCCACAAGATATAGATAGGAACTCTCAGTGTGGGGCAAGGGATGCTCTGTATTCTTGGTGCTTGGGGGTAGGGGGGGGGCAACAGTGGGAGGGCTCCTACTGTCCTGGCCCCACTGCTGGACCGCCTCATGGCACCTGGTATTTCTGGCCTCTGTGTGACAGAGTGTTGGACTGGATGGGCCACTGGCCTGATCCAACATTGGCTTCTCTGATGTTCTTATGTACCTGTTGCTGGAGTCATTACTGGGAAGGAGTGGGGGTCTTCCTGCCAATCAAAATAATTTTATACAGAAGATCTTCCAGGCATCCTTTCCCTCACAGCTTCCTTCGTTCAGTCAAGGAAGCAAGACTTCCTGGAATGGCTCACAGGAAGACACCACCATCCTTGGACTATTGAACCGCCCCCTCAGCATATAGCACAGGAACATAAGAGAAGCATTCGCCTTTTTTTTATTGCCGTCACACACTGAGTCGACACTTTCTGGGAGATATTTGCCACGACTCCAAGATCTCTCTCCTAGTTGGTTACCGCCAGTTTGGAACCCATCAACCTATATTTACAGCACAACTTCTACTTCTGTTTGGGGCACGGATTTCCGAGAGAAGCTTCTCTGGGTGCCTCTGCCATGATAAGATCAGCTCGTCATGGCTTGGGCTGCATGGGCGTGTTGCATTTCTGGGCAAATACCGAAGTGGGAAAGACATTCCACCACAAGTCCAGAGACTTAACGCTCCCCACCCCTTTTTGTCCCAAGCCATCCCGCTTAAACCCAAAAAGTTTCTTCATACTCAGGAAAATCCTTAAGACAGTACTGCAAAAAAAAAGGCTATTGCAACAAGAGTTAAACTGACACGGACTAGACACATACGCAAAAGGAGTCCCGCAAGAAGCGCAAATGAGTAATGATCGAAGAAGAAGAGACTGGATTTATCCCCGCCCTTCACTACCCAAAGGAGTCTCAGAGCGGCTTACAAACTCCTTTCCCTCCCCCTCCCCACAACAGACACCCTGTGAGGTAGGTGGGGCTGAGAGACAGCTCTTATCAGAACTATGGCTTGCCCACGGTCGTCCAGCCAGGTGCAAGTGGAGGAGTGGGGAATCAAACCCAGTTCTCTCAGATTAGAGTCCGCGCACTTAACCACTACACCAAACTGGCTCTCGACATGTGCTAAATGCAGCCCCCCCAAAAAAAGAATCAGAAGGACAGGCAAGAGAAAGGAATCCCGTATATTGTCCATGTTTCGACAAGCAGAAGCACATAGAGAGGAAGGCGATCTAATTAGCTTTTCAAGCGGTCAATTTCCACTCCAGGACAATAAGCAAAATGCACTGTAGAGAAATCCTAGCTCTCTTCCAGAAACAACACGTAAGATGTTATCGAACAGATTCTGGATACCTTGATATAGTGGTTGATCCTCTCCACAGAAGTGAAGCGGGCCTCCGTCTCTGAAGCCAGCCTGACCGTGAACTGGAACAAGCCTGTTAGCTGGAAAAGAAACCAACAGTACTTGAACCACCAACAGCAGTCCAATGTTCCCTCTAAGCTGTGGCGTCTTGTGAGCAAAAAAGCTACCTTGATATAGTGGTTGATCCTCTCCACAGAAGTGAAACGGGCCTCCGTCTCTGAAGCCAGCCTGACAGTGAACTGGAACAAGCCTGTCAGCTGGAAAAGAAACCAACAGTACTTGAACCACCAACAGCAGTGACTGTAGTATATTAATTCACTGACCTATCAGGCTTCTCTACCAATGGCAGCATTCCCTATACTGCCCACGTGCGCAGTAACCCAAGTGTTTTCCTAAAGAACAGTTCACAGTAACGGAATCACAGACAGAGAGGCAGACAGACAGACAAAGAGAGAGAGAGACAGACAGACGGAGAGATTTCAAACAGGGGGAGACAGTCACCTGGACAGCATAGGAGATGGCCAGCCCGGCATAAGCAGGGGAAATCTGCCCATGCATCAAGACGATCATCAGCCCTGTGGTTGTAATGAGCGCAATGCTGACGATATCCAGTCTCACGGCAAGCCAACGCATGGCACAGCTGAACAGGAAGAACGGAGCCTGATTGTCATCCAGCAGCTCCTGGTACCTGGAAGAGAGATCCGGGAAATGCTACATGTGACGGGCTTGCTTATAGGGGAGACGGTTTGACCTTTACACACTCTCTGAGTACACAAACTTGGTAGATTTCTGCTGCCACCAGGAATCAGAAATTCCAAATCTCTCTCTCTGCTGGTAGAATGACCTAGGGTCTGGGCACTTCGGAGGACTATGTGGCCCTGAGGAAGGACTCTAATGATTACTGGGATGAGATTAAATAAAAATTGATTTATTTAATAAAGAACAAGATAGGTTTCTGGTTATTTTGAACTGTTACTGGGGGGGGGGGAGAACTAAATATAACTGGCAAAACTCGGTGTTAGAGTCACTCAGACTTCACTCTGACAGGCATATAGACTCTCAGTATAATCTCTCTCTCTCATTCATATATATATATATATATATATCTCCAAACAGGCTAATCTCCTTGTCTTATTCACCCAGAACAGAATCAACTTTTATAGTCACTCAGACTAAACTGCTTGCCTTATTCACAAAGAATAGAAGCAAAATTCCATAGTCACAGGGTGCGTTCAGACGGGCCGTTTAGTCTGCTTTCGGCACGCTTCAGTAACGGATTTTATATCCACGTTCACATACCCAACATCTGCGCACTGTCCCCAGCTGTCGCTTTCCGGCTCAACCCCACTTTAAAACGGAGTATTTTGTTACCAGGTCCCCAAGAGGTGTTTTCCTGATTCTCTGGTTCTAGCCGCACTTTTCTGACGTCTGCCCGCTCCTGCAGTGTCGAGCCACTTCCACCCGGAAGCCCAAGGCTTCCGCTCTTCGCCCGCCATTTTATTTTAGTGTCGGCGGTATGCGCACAAGCGGAGCTCCGCCCACGCATTATTAAAAACAATGTTTAAACAGTGCCTAGTTTTGTTGGTTAGACGAGTTCAGGATCTCACGGAGGCTAGTTTCGGGGTAAAAGTTTAAAGGGAAGTGTTCCTTTAAAGTTTAAAGGGAAGTGTTACAGCAGTTGGGTTAAAGTGGAAATTGCTGTTCTGTGCATGCATGAAAATTTTAATTCTAGAAATGGCTGCTATGCACATGCCCAAACTGAGAGGGGGAAAACCCCGACGCACGCTTCCGTGTGTGGACGGCAGGGAGCAATGTGGCTACGCAGCAATCCGGAACAAGGAGGTGAGTGTGATCACGATTCTCCAGGTTAAAAAAAAATGCATCCGGAGCAATTTAAACCGCTCCCAGCACACCGTCTGACCACACCCAGTGTTTCCTCGATCACTCCCTGACAAAAATTCAACCTGAGCACCGATGTCATAGGTATGCATGTTCATCCCCTGTTGATCCACATGTGAAAACACATCAGTCAGACTGCTTGTCCCCGGGGGGGGGGGGGGGAGGTATGCTGCCACCTGGGCAGACTGAGTGCTGTTTGATGTCCCCCCCTAAGCCTGCAGCCAGTTACGATGCTGCGTTTGATTCCGCCGCACTTGAAGCACCTGAGTGCCCAGCGCCTGAAGCCCCAGAGTTCCCCATTCTCTTGTTCCCAGAGTGAGGGGACAGCTTATTAGCTGTTGTAGATTTTACGGGTTGTGTGGCCGTGGTCTTGGCATTGTTGGACCTGACGTTTCGCCAGCAGCTGTGACTGGCACCCTCAGAGGTATAACACAGAAAGAGGGAGTACTCTCTGGGTGCGTCCAGACAGGCCGTTTAGTCCGCTTTCGGCACGCTTCAGTAACGGATTTTATATCCACGTTCACATACCCAACATCTGCGCACTGTCCCCAGCTGTCGCTTTCCGGCTCAACCCCACTTTAAAACAGAGTATTTTGTTACCAGGTCCCCAAGTGGTGTTTTCCTGATTCTCCGGTTCTAGCCGCACTTTTCTGACGTCTGACCGCCCCTGTGGTTTAAACCCCCTCTGAACTCGAAAGCTGCTCGAGGCTTCCGCTTTTCACCCGCCTTTTTTTTTTTAATGCGTTGGCGGTGTGCGCATAGGCGGAGCGCCGCCACCGCGTTTAGAAAACCGACATTTAAACGGTCACTTGTTTTAGCGTTTAGATGAGTTCGGGATCTCATGGAGGCCATTTTCGGTTCAAACATTTAAAGGGAAGTCTTTTGTTGGAGGGGTTGGATTGATTCACCCTCGTGGTTCTGCGCATGCGCCATGATAGTTTCCCCCCCCCTTCTACGGAGGGGCGCCTATGCACATGCGCAAACTGAGGGGGGGAAATTTAAAACCCGCCGACACATGCTCCCACGCGTCAGTAGTGTAGGTGCCGGGGAGCTATGTGACTGCGTGGTGAGGCAGGATAAGGGAGGTGTGATCGCGATTATCCAGATCAAATCTAATCCAGTTAGAACCAGAGCAGTTTAACCCGCTCTCTGACCACACCCATACAGACCATGCTGTCTCTTCAAACTTCACACACATAACCCCATCATAAAAAACATCTCTCCTCTCACACTCTCAGTCATCAGCCAGTCACAGCACACTCATCTCCTCCTATCGCTCTCCTTACATTACTGCAGTCAAACTCAACATTTAAAGACACACACCAAAACATGGAATCACTACAGTACACTTTTTAGGCCTCTCACTTTAGACTAGCAAACACAGTGGTCAGAACTGGAAGTCCAACAGCGCACCAACCCTGGATTTCAGAGAACGGCCGGGCACTAACCTGTGCAGGAATTCCTGCCCTTTATTGTAGGCATGGATCGTTGACAGGCCTTGAATGCTTGACGTGATGTGAGAAAGGAATGGAGACTGCGTGATGTTGTCCAGGCGTTTCAGCTCTCGGATGAAAACTCTGAAGGGGAAAACACAGACACCCCTGAAAATACAGCATCTGCCAGTACGAGATATTAGCAACTGACTGAAGAACATAAGAACATAAGAGAAGCCAATGTTGGATCAGGCCAATGGCCCCTCCAGTCCAATACTCTGTGTCACACAGTGGCCAAAAATACCAGGTGCCATCAGGAGGTCCAGCAGTGGGGCCAGGACACCAGAAGCCCTCCCACTATTGACCCCCCCAGGCACCACCACCGTCCTGTCTACCTGGACACAACGTGCAAGATCATAAAAAGGATGACGAGGGGCCCGACGGCCACCAGGAACCAGGGGAAGACGCCGGCGATCACTCCCACGCAGAAGAATACCAGGATGACGTTCTGGATGAACATTTCAGCTTGAAATGGCAAGCGGACGTCAACTAGGAGAGAGAGAGAGAGTGCCTTACCCAACGGACCAAACGCTATTACGCTAATCAGCCAACCAACAGGTACCACTGATTTTAACATTCCAAGTTCAGCATTCTTTCAGAGTTAAAGTCACCCCCATCCAAAAAAACAGAAACTACACTCTGCCAAGACAGTCAGAGACCTACACTCTGCCAAGACTCTTCCTTTAAGTGAATTAGAACATAAGGGAAGCCATGCTGGATCAGGCCAATGGTCCATCCAGCCCAGGGGCCATCAGGAGGTCCACCAGCAGGGCCAGAACTCCAGAAGCCCTCCCACTTCTTGCCCCCCAGGCACCAAGAATACACAGCATCACTGCCCCCAGACACAGTGTTCCATCTAGACCAGGGGTGTCAAATATGCGGCCCAGGGGCCGGATGAGGCCCCCGGAGGGCTTCTATGAGGCCTGCAGGGGAACTGGCTGTCTTCTGCTTCTTCTTCCACTTCTGCTGCTGCTGTGTCATCGTAGGTTTGCAGCTTACAGATACACACCTGAACAGCATACTCAAGACTGCGACAGCACAGACATTTGAATGCAATAATTCAGCGCAAGAGGTGTCAGTTATCAGACACTGTTAAATAAACAAGATATTGCAAGAGTGCTAATGTTTTAAGCAATGTTTTAATTTTAAGTAAAAAAAAAACCCTTTGTGTTTGTGACCTTTATAAAGTTTATATCTCTGCTACCTGGCATTACATTTTATGACGCATGTGGTCTGTCCCAACAAGGTCTCATTTATTGAACCTTGGGAGTATCTGCGCAATAGAGCAGGTGCTCTGCCGCTGGACCACAGACTGTGCAAAGGAGGAGCGGGTGACGCAAGCGAGACACAAAGCGGAACTAGTTTACCTTCGTCCATATCTTTGGAGAACCTATTGAGAATCCGTCCGGTCGGCGTGGTGTCGAAAAATTTCATGGGGCTGCGCAGGATCCGCCGGAAGAGCTCATCGTGGAGCCTGGAGGAGGCTCTCAGCGTCCCCTGCGGGGAGTGAAAAAAGGTCGTGGGAACTGGTGACAACGTTCGGCATACGCGCTTGCCGCACGCCGTAGATCAATCTGCCGCCTCCTCTCCAATGTTGTCGGAAGGGCGAGAAGTGAATGGATTATTAAGAAGGCACAAGGAGCTACTGTGACCTGGATGGACCAGGCCAGCCCAATCTTGTCAGATCTTGGAAGCTAAGCAGGGTCGGCCCTGGTTAGTACTTGGATGGGAGACCACCAAGGAACCCCAGGGCTGCTACGCAGAGGCAGGCGATGGCAAAACCGCCTCTGATCGCCTCTTGGCTTGAAAACCCTATGGATCTTGGAACCTAGGTTTGGTCAGCCCTGGGTAATATTGGCGTAGGAGACCACCAAGAAGAAGTGCTGGCTTTTTATACCCTGCTTTTCTCAACCCGAAGGAGTCTCAAAGCGGCTTACAATCTCCTTCCCTTCCTCTCCCCACAACAGTCACCTTGTGAGGCAGTGTCAGGGTCCTTAGTCAGGTTACTCAACACAGGGCTTCATAAGAAGATAACGGTTTATTGATAAATCCAGTACTAGAGGCACGTGTACAGCTTGTGTCAGGAATGGCCGCCAATACTAGGGCCTCTGACTTATACTAAAATCAAACATTCCCCCTGTAAGCATGAGCCGATGGATACATCTCGCGCGTGCAGACAAAGCAAGCAGGCAAAGCAAAAGCCGTTAAATTTCCCAGCCGAGTCAAACTGCAGCTGGAGCATCTACAAGGTCAAGCAGAAGATAGCAAACAGCTGGTGAGCCAGGAAGAGCTGACACAGAAAACGGGAGGGCACCTCTCCACATTCCAGACTTATGACTTAGGGCTACCTGGCAGGCAGGCTGGACTGAGAGACTTCTGAGAGAACAGTGACTGGCCCAAGGTCACCCAACAGGCTTCAGGTGGAGGAGAGGGGAATCGAACCCAGCTCTCCAGATCAGAGTCCGGAGCTCTTAACCACTACACCACGTTGGAATACCAGGGGGTCGCTATGCAGAGGCAGGCAATGACAAACCACCTCTGTCTCCCTCTTGGCTGGGAAGCCCCATGGGGTGGCCATAAGTCAACTGCGACTCAACAGCACTTCACACACACGGTGTGTCTGCCCAAGAAAGCCTTCCAACTTACATTTGGGGTAAAACAAGGGATGGTGGTACTGAATAGTGAAAGCAGTCTGGCTCAAAGGAGCTGAACTAAGCCACAGGGGCCCAACGCAACAGCGGCCCACGAAAGCAAGCCAACCTGCCTCCCCCCTGCCCCGCACATACCTTGACGAAAGCGACACCACGCACGGCTTTCAGAACCAGCATGACCCCCATGGAGAGGGCATAGATGCCGGCATAGTAGCGCATGTGAGGGTTGTCCTTCATACTGCTGCTCACGACCGTCTCGTTTCCCAGCGTCACAGTAGTGTTCTGTTAAAAAAACCCACATGCGGTGGCATTGTGAAAGATCTAAGAAATACTGGGTAATGGTACATGAACTCTTGCGAAAGGTACTAGGGACGGGAGTACCATTTACACCAGAGACTTTTGTTGTTGAATATTCTACCTGATAATTCTAACAGAGATGATCGTTATTTGATTGTTCTTTTAACTACGGCTGCAAGAATTCTCTATGCAAAATATTGGAAAGTACCGGAGATACCAACAAAACGGGAACTAGTAAATAAAATCTTGGAGGCTGCGGAACTGGATAAATTGACTTTATTGATAAAAGGCACAACGGATTCGACATTCCGGAATACTTGGTCACGGTTTTATAATTGGTATGATAAATATATTTAGGCACGCTTGCAAGAGAAATGTTGCTTACACGGTTCATGAGAAATTGTTATTAAGGTGGAATAGGCACCAGTATAAATACTGGTAAAAATTCAAAATATCCTCCATCTATCTGTTTGTACTGTTTGTATGCATGTATATGTATGTATATGTTATGATTGTTTGTGTATGTTATGTGGAAAATGTAATAAAACCCTGCCCCTTTGGGGGCAGTTTAAAAAAAACAAAAAACAAACCAAGGTCACGTGACCCAGACGGGAAGAGGCAATAGGTCTGCCCAGTTTCAGACAGTCAACTCACCTCTCTCCTGCTTAAGAGTGCTTAGCGTTTGCCTGGATACCTAATGCAGGGATCCCCAGGGGGATAGCCACCATTTTTTTCCTACAAAGTGGGCGGGGCTTTTTCCAGCAAGGCTGATTGGCTGGGCAGATTTTCAAAAAAAACCCTGCTTTGGCAGTTGCTGCCACCACAGCACTGTGTGACTGATGGTAAGTGGCTGCAGCCATTTTGTGGCTGGCCCCGCCTCCTGTGGTGGCCATATTGTCACTGCGCCCATCACACTGTGTTGGAATTCCAAAAGTGCCTGAAGGACCAAAAAAGTTTTGGGACCTCTGACTTAATGGTTTCAGGCACACAAGTATGGCCAACAACCCCAGTGGCGTTTCCACATAACCAGGGGTCATTTCGTAGAAAAAGAGGTGCAGGAGCTCATTAGCATAACTCATTAGCATAACTTATTTGCATATGCCATGCCCCCTGACATCACCGGAAGGGTGTCAGAAGGCAACACCCACCGCTCAGGCTCCACTGGACTGTTTTGGATTGCTAACTATCCGGGGGGGGGGGCGGGCTAGCATTTTTTTGGACGTGCAGATCTGTCCTTGCAGAGGAGGGAGAGCTTGTACCTGAATAAAACTTGCTCTTAAAGGTGCCACTGGACTGTTTTGGACTGGGGGGAGCTCTGCAGCTTATCTGGCTGCTTCTTGTTCTGACTGAGGGCTGCTGGGAGCAGGGTGGGGCTTGTTGCATGTGCCCGCCCCCTGGGCCCTTTACTGCCGGAGCTCCGCTCCTGTGCGCTCCTCCAGGAAATGACCCCTGCACATAACCATTATGTGTGCAATAACAGAGGAAGAGGCAGCTACCTGTATGTCCCACCCCCACCCCCGCCTAGTTCAATGGTGCTGCTTTCCAAACATTACTGATCACAGCGAGGGAGAGAGTTCCCCTTGTCAGATAACCAGGGAATTGTGCAGTGCCATGGCTAGAACTCGTGGGCACTCAATGAAATTGCTGAGCGGTCGGGTTACAACGGATAAAAGGAAGTCCTTCTTCACCCAAAGAGTGATTTACACATGGGATTCACTGCCATAGGAGCTGTTGGCGGCTACAAGCGTGGATGGCTTCAAGAGGGAATTGGATGAATATATGGAGCAGAGGTCCATCAGTGGCTATTAGCCACAAGGTATAGATAGGAACTCTCATGCTGGGGCAAGTGATGGTGCCGGGGGGGGGGGCAACAGTGGGAGGGTTTCTGGTGTCCTGGCTCCATTGCTGGACCTCCTGATGGCACCTGGTATCTTTGGCCACTGTGTGACAGAGTGTTGGACTGGATGGGCCACTGGCCTGATCCAACATTGGCTTCTCTTACATTCTTATGTTTTTATATGCTTCCACTCACTGTTATATATACCTGGCTTCAAAGAGAATGGACCTGCTAAAAGGCAGTTAAACTCTGTTCCCAAGTAAGAAGAAGAAGAGATTGGATTTACACCCCAAGAACAGCTGTGCCAGAACTACGGCTTGCTCAAGGTCATCCCGCCAAGGTGCGAGTGGAGGAAGTGGAGAATCAAACCCGGTTCTCCCAGATTAGAGTCCGTGCACTTAACCACGACACCAAACATGGTGGTTAACCAGTTTGTTGAAGGGTTCCTCCAGGCCAAGAACTTTTCAGCTGGGGGGGGGGGGCGTGATATATGATTATCTAACTACATAATTTCCCTGGCTCAGCTAGAAAGAGCTTGTCCGGGGATGTCTGAGCAAGATTAAAGACTAGGCTCCTCGGACTGTAGGGGAGCACGTAACTCCATACGGGACTCGATAAATCTTAGTTTGTTCACAAGTCTGGTGTCAGCGGCTACTGAATCGGAACTAGACCTTTATTTGTGCCTACTCTGGGGGAAAATATGGGACGCGTTATTTTCGTGTGGAACTGAAAATGACTGACGTACACACATGGATGCACCTCTCCTTGCTTAACTGAGCGGAACACTTTTGTTTTAAGAAACTCCAGCTGCCTCACTTGCCAGGGCATCCTATGACAGGGGCATTTCGTGGAAAAAGAGGTGCAGGAGCTCATTAGCATAACTCATTTGCATACGCCACACCCCCTGACATCACCGGAAGTGTGTCAGAAGGCAGCAGCCACCGCTCAGGCTCCACTGGACTGTTTTGGATTGCTAGCTATTGGGGGGGGGGGGGAACCTGCGGATCTCTCCTCCTTCATAGAGGAGGGAGAGCTTGTACCTGAAAAAAACTTGGTCTTAAAGGTGCCACTGGACTGTTTTGGACCGGGGGGCCAGGCTTTGCAACTTACCCGGCTGCTTCTTGCTCTGAATGAGGGCTGCTGGGAGCTGGGGGCGGAGCTTGTTGCATGTGGCCGCCCCCTGGGCTCTTTACTGCCGGAGCTCCGCTCCTGTGCGCTCCCGCAGGAAATGACCCCTGATCCTGTGCAATATTTGGCCTTGGTTCTGGTTTACCTCCCCCACCCCAAAACGCAGGTGCCATTCCCAGAGTGTTCAGACCGGGGGTCCCCAATAGGGCTGCCATGGAGCCCCTCACCACCGGCAGGGGATGGGGGGGGCAGGATGACCAGATCCATCTCGGGAAGCTCCTGGAGATTTGGGGGATGGGGCCTGGGGAGGACGGGGACCTCAGTGGGACCTCCAGAGCATCCGTTTTCTCCAGGGGGAACTCATCTCTGTAGCCTTTCCAGGGTATCCCCAGATCCCACTGGGAGACTGGCATCCCTGGGTCCCCAACTTTTTTCCAGCCTGTGGGCTCCTTTGGAATTTTGACACAGGGGGCAGGCGCAATCCAAACGCGGCCGCCACGGGAAACAGAGCCAACCCCAAAACAGCTGCCCTGGGAGGCAGAGCCGAACAAACGGATGGAGCCCTCCAGAAAGAGGAGTGTGAGAATAAAACAAACATGGAAAACAACGTTGTTTTAGTCTGCACAGCCCATCAGATCTTCATCGGCCAATCAGGAGTCCTGCTTAGGCAAGAGCCCCACCCACTCCCCGAAAACACAAGCACCACGCTGGGGACCCCCGGTTCAGATTAACTTAAGAACATAAGAGAACATAAGAGAACCTAAGAGAAGCCAATGTTGGATCAGGCCAAAGGCCCATCCAGTCCAACACTCTGTATCCCACAGTGGCCAGAAATACCAGGGGCCATGAGGAGGTCCAGCAGTGGGGCCAGGACACTAGAAGCCCTCCCACTGTTGACCCCCCCCCCCAAACACCAACAATACAGAGCATCCCTTGCTCCAGACTGAGAGTTCCTGTCTATCACTTGCCCCAGCCTGAGAGTTCCTATCTAGGCAATGGCCGACCAACTCTGAAGGTCTGTTGCCTTAAGCCAATGTTGGATCAGGCCAGTGGCCCCTCCAGTCCAACACTCTGTGTCACACAGTGGCCAAAAATACCAGGTGCCATCAGGAGGTCCAGCAGTGGGGCCAGGAGGACACTAGAAGCCCTCCCACTGTTGTCCCCCCCCCAAGCACCAAGAATACAGAGCATCCCTTGCCCCAGACCAAGAGTTTCTATCTCTACCTTGTAGCCTTGTGCACGAAAGATTAAGGATCTTTCCTCCGCTCTGAGTGGGCCCTATCCCGCTCCCCCGGACGAATCCAACAACCTCTCAGACGATCCGAAGACGGCATCTGCTCTTACCCCGCTGCCTTGCTTGATCCAGTAGCTGAGCCACCAGTTGCTGAAGGCGGTGCTGCCCACGTTCAAGACGAAGAGCGCCACGATGATGAGGAAGGCGATGGGCCCGCCGGCTGCCTGGATGTAGACGCCGTAGACCGACCAGGGGACGGAGCCTTTGCCTTTCTCTTCCAACTGCACCAGCTGGCCTAAACGCACACGTGGCAGAGAAGGAGGGGAGACAAGTGAATAGGCAGCAGGCTGACGGGCAGAGGCCAGGGATGGAAGTCTATGAACCCATGAAGCTGCCTTCTACTGGAACACAGACCCTGGGTCCATCAACATCAGTACTGTCTACCCAGACCAGCAGCCGCTCTCCCTGTATGCCCCTGGAAGAGCATTGCGCTCAGAAATAAGAACTTCCTGGTGGAGAGTTAAAATGTAAGAAAATCATGAGCCAAAAGGGAGTTAATTGCTGTTTAAAAATGGCCCACCCGTTTTCCTCGCAAAAGAAGAAGAAGAGATTGGATGTATACCCCGCCCTTCACTACCTGAAGGAGTCTCAGAGCAGCTTACAAACTCCTTTCCCTTCCCCTCCCCACAACAGACACCCTGCGAGGTAGGTGGGGCTGAGAGAGCTCTGAAAGGACTTGTGACTGACCCAGGGTCACACCAGCAGCTGCGTGTGGAGGAGTGGGGAATCAAACCCAGCTTTCCCAGATTAGAGTCCAAACTGGTACGAGGCTCTACCACTGAGCCACAGCTCCTCTCTGCATTGTGATTGTTTCAGTGTTACCTGATCTACAGTTTGGTGTAGTGGTTAAGTGTGCGGACTCTAATCTGGGAGAACCGCATTTGATTCCCCACTCCTCCACTTGCAGCTGCCGCCCCCCTTTGCACCTCCGGGATGACCTTGGGCAAGCCACAGTTCTGTCAGAGCTGTTCTCTCAAGGACAGTTCTGGAAAGAGCTCTCTCAGCACCACCGACCTCACAGGGCATCTGTTGTGTAGTCAAAATGGACTACAGTTATGCTTCACTACACTTTTACCCACACTAAAACCCCATTCTTAGAAGTTGGCTTTGAGAAGTTCAGCACTCACTTCAAATGGACATGGTGCAACAATGGAAGTGCTGTTTGAATATTTAGCAGTTTTCTTTTCTTAATATTTTATTCAAGCCACAGCGAGCAAACAAAGGGCAGTGTGGAACATGAGTAGTTCAACTGAATGGGTGAACTGAAAATAAGACCAGAATTATTGTGGCTCAGTGGAAGAGCCTCTGCCTGGCATGCAGGAGGTCCGAGGTTCAATCCTTGGCATCTCCAGTTAAAAGGACCAGGCAGGAGGTGATGGGAAAGACCTCGGCCTGAGACCCTGGGGAGACGCTGCCAGTCTGAGTAAACAGTACTGACCTTAACAGACCCCAAGGGTCTGATTCAGTAAAAGGCAGCTCCATGTGTGTCGATGTATATTAGAGATCAAAATGTGTTACTTGAAAAGTAGAGAGCCTATGAGATAACGCAGTAAGATAATACCTTCTTCCTTCTTGACCAGTTTCTCTTTCTTCACAGATCCTGATTTGGTGCTTTTATCTTGTGGCCTTTTCAATGAACTGCTCGCAGTTTTCTTTACGTTTATCTGAAAATGAGGGAGGGGGAAAGTAAGCACTTGTAAAGTAAGCAAGCTGGCCGGACGTCAAAACAAAACTGCCTTCAACAGGACACATTCAGCAGTTCTGGTTTCAGCCCCTGGTTTATTTTAACACTTTATGTACAAATGCACAGACTGGCCAGGAGGCCCAGGAGGCCAGAGGAGGGACCCAGAGTGGAAATTCCCCTTCTGCAATTATACGCAGCAGCCAGTGTTCCCTCTAAGCTGAGTCAGTGTGAGCTAGCTCACAGTTTTTTAGCCTCCAGCTCCCACGTTTCTGTCTTCGCTCCGGAAGGATGGCTCCAGAGCAAACTAATGTATGCAGTAGCCAAATCACTCGCTCACAACCTTAATGCCAGGAGCTCACAAAGTAGAATCTTTGCTCACAAGACTCCACAGCTTACAGGGAACATTGGACAGCAGCATGTGGCTGAGGAACAGCAGACGTTACAGCCACTGCATTCCTCGGTAGCCAAATCTGCCAAAGGTAGAAGCAAACCAGGAACAATTCTGAAGAAATCTAAACTCTCAGCGATTGAAGACTTTCTTGAATAGTGATGCACGTATTGTGACGGTATGTACAAATGCACAGACTGGCCAGGAGGCCCAGGAGGCCAGAGGAGGGACCCAGAGTGGAAATTCCCCTTCTGCAATTATACGCAGCAGCCAGTGTTCCCTCTAAGCTGAGTCAGTGTGAGCTAGCCCACAGTTTTTTAGCCTCCAGCTCACACATTTCTGTCTTAGCTCAGGAAGGATGGCTTCAGAGCAAACTAATTTATACAGTCGCCAAATCACTCGCTCACAACCTTAATGCCAGGAGCTCACAAAGTAGAATCTCTGCTCACGAGACTCCACAGCTTAGAGGGAACATTGGACAGCAGCATGTGGCTGAGGAACAGCAGACGTTACAGCCACTGCATTCCTCGGTAGCTTCCTCGGTAGCTAAATCTGCCAAAGGTAGAAGCAAACCGGGAACAGTTCTGAAGAAATCTAAACTCTCGGCGATTGAAGACTTTCTTGAATAGTGATGCACGTATAGTGACAGGACCACTTTGACTGCTTGCCAAAAAACCCCCACTGTATAACTATTCTAACTAGATTGGATAAATCAAGATGGGTAGCCATGGTAGTGGCAGCAGAAAAGAGTAAGAGTCCAGCAGCAGCTTAAAGACTAACACAATTTGTGGCAGGGCAGGAGATTTTGTGAGTCAGTTCGATTTCAATTCAATTCGCCTTTACTGGCATAAAACAATACCTTAGAAGAGGATTACTATAAAAGAGAAATATACATATAAAACCAAGCATTCTGCAGACTATGTAAGATTGTAACAAATTGTTTTATGTAAGATTATGCAAAGTATTGCTCATTTTGGTAGTTTTTCCTGTTGAAACTTTATAAAAGGTAAAGGTTTCCCTGGCTCGAAAGCCAGTCGAGTCCGACTCAAGGGTTGCGGTGCTCATCTCCGTTTCGAAGCCGAAGAGCCAGCGCTGCCCGAAGATGTTTCCGTGGTCATGTGGCCGGCATGACTAAACACCAAAGCGCACAGAACGCGATTACTTGCCCACCAAAGTGGTACCTATTTATCTACTTGCGATTTCTTGCTTTCGAACTGCTAGGTTGGCAGGAGTGTAGCTTTATAGCTGATTGTAAAAATATGGTTACCTTCACTGGTATTTCAGGAGTGGAGTCATTCAGAAGACGGTGCACTTTTAAAGCATCAGGAAGTTCCGTCATGTTGGCTAAAATAGGGTTTAAATATCTAAAGCGTATATCTACATGAAACTGACAGTGCAAACAGATACGTGAAACTGCCTCAATGCATCCAGAGTTATGATGCCAAAGCGTAGCTTTATAGCTGATTGTAAAAATATGGTTACCTTCACTGGTATTTCAGGAGTGGAGTCATTCAGAAGACGGTGCACTTTTAAAGCATCAGGAAGTTCCGTCATGTTGGCTAAAATAGGGTTTAAATATCTAAAGCGTATATCTACATGAAACTGACAGTGCAAACAGATACGTGAAACTGCCTCAATGCATCCAGAGTTACGATGCCAAAGTCTAGCCGTATATACTATATTATTATATCTCCCATAAAAGATTGCTGATGGTATTGCATTGAATCTTGCTAGAGAAAAGGCTCTGCGCACTGTTGTGGTGCTTGTATATCAGATAGGTATGGGGCCATTCGGCCTCTTTTGTGAGAAGAAGAAGAGGAGAAGAGGTTGGATTTATACCCTACCCTTCACTACCCGAAGGATTCTCAGAGCGGCTTACAAACTCCTTTCCCTTTCCCCTCCCCACAACAGACACCCTGTGAGGTCAGTGGGGCTGAGAGAGCTCTGACAGAAGCTGCTCTTACAGCTGTGCCAGAATTATGGCTTGCCCAAGGTCATCCAGCAGGTGCAAGTGGAGGAGTGGGGAATCAAATCCGGTTCCCCCAGATTAGAGTCCGCGCACTTAACCACAACACCAAACTGGAAGAAGCGAGCAGTGACTCACAAAAGACTCACTAATTCAGTATGAATCCTACCACTCCTGAGCAATGCTCCCTTCTAAGCCTTGGAGTCTTGTGAGCAAAAATTCTACTCTGTGAGCTCCTGGCATTCAAGTTGTGAGCGAGCGATTTGGCTACTGCATAAATTAATTTGCTCTGAAGCCATCCTTCCTGAGCTAAAACAAAACTCTGTGAGCGGGAGGGTAAAAAACTGTGAGCTAGCTCACACTAACTCAGCTTAGAGGGAACACTGCTCCTGAGTCCCGACTGAAGGAAAGAATGCCCTCCGGCCTTTTCGGGTGAGCATGGTGAGGCCGCAGCATGGGCGACTGGCTGAACAGTCTCTAAATGCGCAGACAAAAAGCGTATCTAATCTCGTTAGATGGGGTAAGAACACTCGTGCCCTTAAGTTCTACCTCGACTATCTTACAAGGTGGTGGCGGTGGGGGGAAGAGTGGGTGGAGGCACGCACAAGCAGAGACCTGAAAAATATTTTAAGGAGCAGAACTGGGAGGTGGGGAGGGAAGAAAACAGCTATGCTTTAGTGGCCACCGTGCAGGGTACCTCAATGTGCGGCGTCTCTCCCAGCTGCAGGCTGTTAAAACTGGCCGCATAGTCCCCGTTCAGGTTCATCAGATCCTCGTGGCTTCCCCGCTCGGTGATACAGCCCTCTTTCATGAAGACCACTTCGTCGCAGTCCACGAGATACTGGAGAGCGATGACAGGGGAAAGAGCGCTTGGGATCAGGAGGAGAAACGTACACATATACCTGCACAGATCACCCCCACCTGTCTTTGTGACAGCGGGCGGCTATAAAAGAAAATGCAGAGAGGGGCACCTGGCAAAACTCCCCATTCCCCCACTTTACGAAGCTTCGGCTATCAGTGGGGAAAGGCGGCATCTGCCAAAATACCTCGCTAAAGGCACTTTACTAAATTGCTAAAGCTCTTTGTTGCAACCTGAGGACATCTGCTATGAGCAGGTGACAGCAAGGAAGTCTTCAGACATATATGCATACAAGAAGAAGAGATGGGATTTATACCCTGCCCTTCACTACCCAAGGGAGTTTCAGAGCGCCTTACAGACTCCTTTCCCTTTCCCTCCCCACAACAGACACCCTGTGAGGTAGGTGGGGCTGAGAGAGCTCTGAGAGGAGAAGAAGAAGAAGAAGAGATTGGATTTATACCCCGCCCTTCACTACCCAAAGGTGTCTCAGAGCGGCTTACAAACTCCTTTCCCTTCCCATCCCCACAACAGACACCCTGGGAGGTCGGTGGGGCTGAGAGAGCTCTGGCAGAAACGGCTCTTTTTCAAGAACAGCTCTTATCAGAACTAGGGCTTGCCCAAGGTCATCCAGCAGGTGCAAGTGGGGGGGGGGACCAAGCCCAGTTCTCCCAGATTAGAGTTTGCGCACTTAACCACGACACCAAACTGGCTCTCACAAGAAATGAGAGACTGATTAAAATGTGGAATTAGCAGCTGGAAGATGTAGTGATGGCCACAGGAATGAACAGCTTTAAAAGGGATTAGATGAACTCATGGAGGAGAGGGTCTATCGGTGGTTACTAGCCACGGTGACTGAGGGGATCCTCCACGTTCAGAGGCACTAGACCTCTGAAGCCGTGCCAGGGGGCAATATCAGGGGAAGGCCTCGGCCTCTATGCCCTGTTGTTGGCCCTCCAGAGGAACTGGCTGGCCACTGCGTGAGACAGGATGCTGGACTAGGTGGGCCACTGGTCTGAGCCAGCCGGGGTCTTCTGATGTTCTTACGAAGGCCTCGGTCTCTTTGCCCTGTTGTCGGCCCTCCAGAGGAACTGGTTGGCCACTGCGTGAGACAGGATGCTGGACTAGATGGACCACTGGTCTGATCCAGCAGGGCTCTTCTGATGTTCTCAATGTTGGAATGGAGATGTCGGACGCAGCCCTCTGTACATTAATAATATATACTGTCCCTAGCTCACTATCTCAAGTGGGCCTCAGTCTGCTCACCCTTACTCTCAGGATGGGGGTCTCTTCCCTGCGGCAGCCTTCCTTCAGGCTCTGCCCTCTTGGAAGAACAGCTTTCCCTCTTGCACCAGTTGCTTTATTCCCCAGCCCTCTTCTTCCCTATTGGTCAAAATCGGCGCCAAAACTTCCCAAGGCCTTCTGGGGTTTGTAGGCCCAGCCTCTCCTACTGCTAGCCAGGCTCCCGGGGCCTAGTAGGCCGCTGGTGGCACAGCCCAGATCATGACACGGGGTATGAGCTTTCGCAAGTCAAAGCTCAGACAAAAGGGAGCTTTGATTCTTGAAACCTCTTGCCCTGAAAATATTGCTGATCCCTAAGGTGCTACTGGGCTGGAATCTGGCTGTTCCACTGCAACACCAACACGGCTACCCTCCCGAAACTATCCGCAGGCGTACCTGTAACTGATGAGTGATGAACAAGACCGTTTTCGACTTCAGGTGCTTCCGTATGGCACTGTTGAAGATGTGGTTTCCGACGTGGGCATCCAAGGCACTAAGAGGGTCGTCGAGGATATAGATGCTGTTCTCACTGTACAGGGCCCGGGCGAGGCTGATCCTCTGGCGCTGTCCCCCGCTCAGGTTCGCGCCGCGCTCACCAATCTAGGGGGAACAGACTTCCTTGAAGCCTTTCTTTTTGGGGATCATACTTATTGCGTAATGAAGGACCCAGTCTATTTGTTATGGCCGTGTTCCGTCCTTTCTCCAAGGAGCTCAGAACAACACTCTGGTTGTATGATGGCACGACGGAGAAGGCTTCACCAACGAGATTTGGGTTCCCACAGGCCTACTCTCGAAGGACGGAGGTGCAGGTTACGTTTACTTCTATGCAGGGGTCATTTCGTAGAAAAAGAGGTGCAGGAGCTTATTAGCATAACTTATTTGCATATGCCACACCCCCTGACATCACTGGAAGTGTGTCAGAAGGCAACACCCACCGCTCAGGCTCCACTGGACTGTTTTGGATTGCTACCTGTTGGGGGGGGGATGTGCAGATCTGCCCTCACAGAGGAGGGAGAGCTTGTACCTGAAGGCGGGCCGGGGGGGGGGGCTCTGTAACATATCTGGCTGTTTCTCGCGGCCTGACTGAGGGCTGCTGGGAGCAGGGGGCGGGGCTTGTTGCATGGGCCCGCCCCCTGGGCTCCTTACTGCCGGAGCTCCGCTCCTGCCTGCTCCCGCAGGAAATGACCCCTGCTTCTATGACAAGGTCCCCCACCCCCTTTTGGACATGCAGCATTTTTTGGATCTTGTCGTGGTAGTTAGCTAATAAACCGTAGCACCTTAGAATGAGTCTAATCGTTTCAGGAGAGCAAGTCCTCCTTGATAAAGTCTTCGTAAAGTACGATGACCGTGAATCAAAAGCGACCAGAAGAAGCTAAAACAGACTGGATAAAACAAAAGGCCAGGAGAGGAAAGGGCAGCTGCTGCCAGCCCAACACCACCTTGGAGCCGCTCTTCCTTTTCAAAATGCCCTCGCTGGGGGGGATGATCTTTTGGAAGGGGAGACGCCTGCCCTGTGTAGCCCCAGCGAGCCCGACCTCGTCAGATCTCGGAAGCTCAGCAGGGCCGACCCTGGCGAGGACTTGGATGGGAGACCTCCAAGGAATACCAGCGCCGGGAGCAATGTTCCCTTCTAAGCTGTGGAGTCTCGTGAACAAAAGTTCTACTCTGTAAGCTACTGGCATTAAAGCGAGCAATTTGGCTCCTACACAAATTAGTTCGCCCTGGAGCCACCCTTCCTGAGCTAAGACAAAAATGTGTGAGCTGGAGGCTAAAAAACTGTGAGCTAGCTCACGCTAACTCAGCTTAGAGGGAACACTGGCCGGGAGGCAGAGGCTGGCAATAGCAAGCCACCTCTCTGAAACGCCCAAGCCCCGATAGGGGTCGCCAGAAGTCAACCGTGACTTCCAGGTGCACACGCACAGGGGGGGAATCTGCACGGCCGATCAGATCTCCAATGGCCAATCGGAAACCCTGCTTGGCAAAGGCCCCGCCCACTTTCTAGAGACACTTGGCGGGCGCCGGGGAAAGTGTCTGGGAGCGGGGAACCCGGGTCCAGTTAGACTCCTACCTCCGTCAGGTCCCCGTTTGGCAGGATGGCCAGGTCAGGTCTGAGGCAGCAGTCATTCAGCGCAGTATTATACCTGGGAATACATACATATATTTTAGGAAGCAGCAGTCCAACGGCGTGCCATTCCCCCTCTGACATTCAGAGGTGGTTTTGCCACCGCCTCCCTCTGCGTGGCCCACTCTGGACCTCCTTGATGGTCTCCCACCCAAATACTGACCAGGGCTGACACTACTTAGCTTCCGGGATTGGGCTAGCCTGAGCCATCCAGATTGGGACATTTTATATATAAAGGTAAAGGTAAAGGTTCCCTTGCTCGAAAGCCAGTCGAATCCGACTCTAGGGTTGCGGTGCTCATCTCCGTTTCAAAGCCAAAGAGCCAGCGCTGTCCGAAGACGTTCCCGTGGTCATGTGGCCGGCGTGACTAAACACCAAGGCGCACGGAACGCCGTTCCCTTCCCACCGAAGTGGTACCTGTTTATCTACTTGCAATTTCTTGCTTTCGAACTGCTAGGTTGGCAGGAGCTGGAACTAGAGACGGGAGCTCACTCCATCATGTGGCAACCCGGGTCTCGAACTGCTGAACTACTGACCTTCCACAGCCTGCAGTTCAGCATCTTAACCACTGCAGCTGCATATATACACCTTAATTTAAATGCTGTTTTAATGTTCACCCCCTTGGGGACTCCTATTTGGGTGGAAAGTTGGCCCAGAAATATATCAGATAAACAAATCTTTTCCTCCTCACATCCAAAGCGCCGAGCACTAGGAACGCGTAACCGTTTACTGTAGCTTACAGACCTTTCTTCATCAAACTCCTTCCCAAAGAGGATGTTGTCTCTGAGAGTCGCGTTCAGGATCCAGGCCTGCTGGGCCGCATAGGCAAACGTTCCGTCCACAGAAATGCCGCCTTCCAGCAGCGTCATCTGGAACGAAGGACAGTGAGCTGAGGAGGGACGTCGCTCCACGTTTGAAGAGGAAACATCTCAAGCACACGCCCCACTGTGGAAGATCAGCCACATTCTTGAGATTCACCCGCAGAGACATTTAGGAGAGGAGAAGACGAGACTGGATTCGTACCCCACCCCTTCACTACCCAAATGAGTCTCAGAGTGGTTTACAATCTCCTCTCCCTTCCACTCCCCACAACAGACACCCTGTGTGGTAGGTGGGGCTGAGAGAGCTCTCTCGAGAAGTGCCCTTGAGAGAACAGCTCTGAGAGAACTGGTGACTGACCCAAGGCCACCCAGCAGCTGCATGCGGAGGAGTGGGGGAATCAAACCCGGTTCTCCTAGATTAGAGTCCGCGCGCCTAACCACTACAGCTTTTAGCTTCTCAAGTGTGCCTCATTTCACTGCCTATTACAATCACAATATGGAACTGGATACTTTATCGCGTGGACTAAAGGGACAGTGAACAAAACAATGTAGCGGGCAGAGATGACAACGGCAGAGACTCTCCACCTCCCTTGCAAACTAAGCGGAGGCAGACCTGAGTGTGTAAAAGGAGAAACCAAGGGATCCTCTCTCACCTGTCCTAAGATGGCCGAAATGAGTGAGGTCTTCCCGCTGCCCACGCTGCCACAAATCCCAACAAGCTTCCCCTAGATGAGATCACAAAAGGAAATATTTATTGCACAGAAATCGATCCTTCATACTAGATTCAGTGGACTGTTTAACAAGGGTATGAAGTAGAAAGAGAAAGTTCGAAGGTATCGCTGGGTGGAAATTCACACTTCCTGTGTCGGAAGCCAGAACTCCAGATGCCTAAATTGTATACTGTATTCAAGGAGGAGGAGGAGGAGATTGGATTTATACCCCGCCCTTCACTGCCCAAGGGAGTCTCAGAGCGGCTTACAGACTCCTTTCCCTTCCGGTCCCCACAACAGACACCCTGGGAGGTAGGTGGGGGCTGAGAGAGCTCTGACAGAAACTGCTCTTTTTCAAGGACAGCTCTTATCAGAACTATGGCTTGCCCAAGGTCATCCAGCCAGGTGCAAGTGGAGGAGTGGGGAATCAAACCTGGTTCTCCCAGATTAGAGTCCGCGCACTTAACCTCTACCCCAAACTGGCTCTCAAACTGCTAAAGTAGAAGGAGAAGAGACTGGATTTATACCCCGCCCTTCACTACCCAAAGGTGTCTCAGAGCGGCTTACAAACTCCTTTCCCTCCCCCTCGCCACAACAGACACCCTGTGAGGTGGGTGGGGCTGAGAGAGCTCTGAGAGAAGAAGAAGAAGAAGAAGATATTGGATTTATACCCCGCCCTTCACTACCCAAAGGTGTCTCAGAGCGGCTTACAAACTCCTTTCCCTTCCCCTCCCCACAACAGACACCCTGTGAGGTGGGTGGGGCTGAGAGAGCTCTTGACAGAAACTGCTCTTTTTCAAGGACAGCTCTTATCAGAACTACGGCTTGCCCAAGGTCATCCAGCAGCTGCATGTGGAGGAGTGGGGAATCAAACCCGGTGCTCCCAGATGAGTCAGCACATTTAACCACTACACCAAACTGGCTCTCAAGGGAACACACTTTAAGCCTTCTCTAAA